TATTCCCTTTATTTTGCCAAGCCGACCCACCTCCTCATTTGCTGCCTCTTTACTGAGAGAAAATGTTAAAGTGGCAAACCACGTTAGGATCACAGCTATCTTGTGAAATGCTTGCAAAACCTTCAATCCAAACTCCAAATGTCACACTTCATCATGCAATTGTCAGCTGTTGTTGCTTTTTAATGTGCTGAATTTAGTCATGTAGACACAAGGCTCGGCGTGGATTAACACAACAATTAGAGCAAGGCGAGCAAGGGGGTAGATTCAACTTTCCTTGTGTCTGTGTGTTCCCATGATCTGCGATAGCAAACAATAATTGAAACCAAGTAAAACTAGAAAAACAAGCCATGCCAGGAACTAATTTCACCACAGACACTACACGTCTTTCTAAGCCTACAGGGTGACCAGCCAAATGCTGTCACTTCTCTTAGGAATCAGGCATTTAATGCCACATAACTGTGTGCAGGGTTTTGTTTTTTTTCTCTGCTCACTGTGGGCTTTCAAGTAACCGGAGGAACAACAATTGAAATCACCTCACTGATTCTATTATTTATTTACTCATATGATTAACTGGAGGGTTTCTGCAAACCTCTGTTTGCCTAGAAGTATAATGGAATTTTTGATTTTAACTTGGGGAGAACAACCGGGAACAGGTCACTGATCAAGACGAGCCAGTGAAACTGGATCTGCTTGGACTTCTTTGAGGGAGTGACAAAATGTCTCCCTTTTCTCTCAAGGATTTGTAGCTCTTGCAGATGGAAAGGAGAGTGGAAATACAACAGGTGGCACAGAAACAACACACTGCTGTGTACCTGAACTGAGAACCCAGGATGGCGAGGACAAAGAATCAGACTCTATCTCCTGGAATAGAAGGAATCCAGTAGATGCCCAAAGTAAGATATGTAGTTAGTACCAACTAAACCTTCTATTCCCAAAATACACATTCAAAAAGATTTGAGGCCAGGGCAATTCTAGAACAGTTCCCAAAGAAAATAATACAATCTATTACAATCCAACAGAAATGTAGTATATTTTCAAAGCACGGGCAGAGTGCAGACTAAGTACAGTGGGGTCTTGACTTGAGACTAGACTGATGTGAAAAAATTTATTGTTATATGAAAGATGTTGCAAAAATTCAAAAGAAAATAAGGTTCAAAGGAGCTTCAAAACTCAATTCAGAAAGTTCAAAAGCAATCAAAAATTGTGAAGCTAATACACATTCAAAAAGATTTGAGGCCAGGGCAATTCTAGAACAGTTCCCAAAGAAAATAATAAAATTCCCTGGTCTATTCTATTACAATCCAACAGAAAGGTAGTATAGTTTCAGAGCACGGGCAGAGTGCAGACTACAGTAAGTAGCAAGACTGCAAATGACCATAACCATCTCCTCAAAAAAGTTAAGCTAAACTAACTAAATTCTCTATGCCATTTTACACTCACCGTCCACTTTTCCCAATCTTTCAAGGGAATTCCACCAATCAGATGCTCAGTTATCCCAAACCTTCCAAAAGGGAGTACTTTTTTTCAATGTAACTTCACTCACCTTATTTTCCCTCTCCTTTTAGTTTAGCTGATGATATGTTATCACTTAATTAACATACCAGAAGAAAAGTGTTTCATAAATTTGGACACATTACTACATCCAGTTGCAAAATTCATTCGTTCATTCGATTTATATACTGCCCCATTAGTGCATGCACTACTCTGGGTAGTTTACAATTCAAAAGTTACGAGTTGAGAGTTAAATTGTGTTTTACAGTGCAACAAAAACTTGTAAACCTCTCTTTTGCCAGTCTCCTGACAAATATCTGAATGATTCAGGAAGAGCCCGAAAAACCCACAACAACCATCAGATCCCGGCCATGAAAGCCTTCGAGAATACGATTCAGCAAGACTTTGTCAAACTGATGGTAGTACCACTTGAGCTCTGATGATGGCTGGTAAGTTCCATCTTGGAATGGAGCTGATCATTATCTTCCTGCCCACTTCAAATTCAGACATCTGTCCCTCTCCTGAGATGTTCTGCCCTTCCTTTGGTTTCCCTCAGAGATCCGCCAGAGGCAATGCATGAATGCCACAACATATATGTTGAATTCCTGCTGTTTAATATAATAAGTTGCAACTAGAGTGGGCCTATTTCATCGGTCACCTTCTCCACAAGTTCCAGTGATTTCAGCCATAGTCAAGAAATTTCACTGATCTCCGGAAATTTCTTTAGCTTTCACCTTGGATGAAATTTCACAGATAACTCTAGTTTCCTTATTGTAGAGTTAATTTCAGCTCTTTGTCTAATAACTTTAGGCAACCTCACACATAACAAAATTTAGGGATAATGTAGAAAAGCAGAGCAAGAGAAACCAAGATAAGCGGGAAGGTAAGGGTCACAGAAAAGCTGTTCTCACCCCCAACAACTTTCAGGTTTTCCTTAACAATGTCCATCTCTCAAACTAGGAAAGTGGAATCTCACAACATATGATGAAAATACCCTGTTCTTCTCCAACTTATGTCTATCTACCCAGCATCTAACGCCTTTGCCAAAAACAAGAGCAAAGTATCACTATATTTATTCCACAGTTATGTGCTCAGAAAATGCTTTTGTTTTTGTTTTTTAATGGCTTTTTATTTTACTGATGTTTTACCTACCTTTGCTCATGCTCTAAACTTTGTCTTGCATTTTAATTTGCAGTCTACTCTTAACTGCCTTCAGCAACATTTGGTAGAAAGGCAGATGCAAAAATGTATTGAATACATACATTTATGCAGGTCAGTACTTTAAACATAGAAGACGTATCATTAATGATGTCCTGAAGAGAACAAGATTCAAGCATTCACAGCCTTCAGAAAAAGCATGGATTTTTAGCACTTAGGAAATCATCTCACTTCCTTTTTTGTTCCATTTTGTGTGGAAGAAGAGTACTGTAATATTAATTTGGGCTTTACATGAGTAAATGTTATTCAAGGAGTGTACAGAACACCTGAAATATTATACAGTAAGCATGAAAGACAGGAAGGACAGACAACCTTGTTCTTAAGAGATAAACCATCTGCAGTGAGTATATGAAGCAGAGCACTGTGTCTTATTGGCTCAATTTTGTTTTTAAGCTTCATGGAAAACTATGTAGTAGGATTAATGAAAATGGTAATATATTTTCTTGTTTAACTGACTTTTTAAAATTGTTTTTGTCATACATATTTTACTGACTGTGCTCCATGGACTTACAATAAAATGTAGAAAAAGAAAACTCAAAATAAAACAAACAACACAATGCTGGAAAAAGGAAGCAAAAACATAGCAGAGCTGAATAGAGAAGAGTTAGGTAGTTTTCGAAATAGAGAACAAGTAGCAGCTGGTTAAGATTTCTGGAGATAGCATTAGACCTTCAGACAGGTGCTTTCAATGCTGTTCCGCACTTCTCCATTTCTAATTGTAATTATTTTATCTAAAAGTTTTTTTAGATGTTTACAACTTTTTATCTTATTTTATTTTATTTTTATTGTATTGAATTTTAATTATTGTAAGCCGCCCAGAGACCTCTGGGTAGAGTGGGTGGCATATAAATAAATAAATAAATAAATAAATACATAAATAAACAAACAAACTAACAAACAAACAAACTAACTAACTAACTAACTAACTTCATTTTGTTCAAATGTGACAACTGATTTACTTATCACTGGAATCTACAATCCACTGTTCGTAACTGTAATTTTATTTATGCAGTCTTAGGTGCCAATTTTTTGAGAGAAAGTCAAGGTGGAAATCATAAATGACAAATAGATAGGAAGCCATATGATGAGTGAGAAAGAATTAGATTTTAAAAAAGATAAACAATGTGGAAAATATAGACAACAATACAGGAGACAATATAGATAAGGGTGAGAAAGAAGTACATAGCAATATGTCAGATATTGAAAGATATGTCAGAAAGAAAGTTAGTAAAAGAAAGAACATTTTTGTATTATTCTAATTCTTTAAACTTAGAAAGAGGTAAATGGGGGGAAAAGTCTAAAAAGTATTGTCAAAAATATCAAATGAACATACTGTACAAACCAAAGAGAGTCAATGTTACTTTTGTATTTTCAAATAGTTGTGAACATAGTACATGAGCACAGATGAGAAATCCCCAATTTCGCATGTCCTGGCCAGTCCCACTTTTATTCTTAAATTTTTGGCTTCCAACACGAAAGTCCACATTAGTAAAACTGCAAATGTTCCATAGTCCATGTGCTTTGGCTTGTCCTGCTCTGAAGAAGAATCCACTATTTAAGGAAGCGTCATTTCTAAACTTCCAAGGGAGATAGGTAATTCAGTATTTCCAGGGAATACTGAATCACCAAATTTCTATATCCTGTGGCAGCGTTGTTACAATTTTGACCCTCACACCATCCCACAGGGAGTCACTAAAGAGAGAAATTCTGAAAAAGTTATTACAATCAATTGTTCATCCATTTAACTTCTCTGCCTGAGTTATTCCTACAGCTATACAACCCTCAAGAAAAAGCCTTGACAAACATCCCAGACTACACATATTGTATAGGCTGGAGACAGAGAGAATGTATACACAGTCCCAGTGATTTTCAAACTTGAGGCCCTAGATACTCCAAGATTACAGTTTCAAAAAGTCCTGCCCATTGGTTGTGGTGGCTAGGGTTTCTGGGAATTGTGGTCCAAAAAGGCCTGCAGCCTCAAGTTTCGGAAACACTGTGCAGAAACATTTTTGCTAGGTATTGTACCACATATAAAACAGTGTGGTGTATATTCCCAATATGCTTTCTAACAACAAGTTGTTTAAGAGCTCTCAATAAGGAAGCTTTGTACAAGAACCAGGCAAAAAACAAAATTTGGATTTCAACATTTAAGGAATTCATGGGATGGAAACCATAGAGATATAGATTTTAAGTCCTACTTAAGCTGTAGCACTTAAAAACATTATCACCATTTATTCAACACACACATGCATTCTAATTGTCATAGGAACAGGAAAGTAACCAACAATTACCTGCACTTCGTAAGTTGGGGTCTAAATCAGGCATTTCTTTACACGCTTCTGGACTTACACTATAAATAGAAGCACCTGCTTCATTGGTGATGCTGTAGAAAAGAAAGCACATAATCAAAAAGATGCAGCGCACACTGTCTGAAACAGAGGACAATTCCTTTGATTGAAATATCATTAGTACAAATTGTAATACAGTATATGGAGACCAAATGCTTATAAAAATAGGAAGATCATCAACTGAAATATATGAATATGCACCTCAGTAATATCCCAGGCTGAGATTCTACACATAACATTTGAAAGCACATTGATTTTCAATGTATGGCATATAGTTTCATAATACACGGCCAGGGTATTTTGAGAATCATAAGTACATCAAGGTTTCCACACAACACTTTCTCCTTTGTTTCTTTGAACAAAATACCGATATATTCTTTTCAGTCCCCTCAAACAACAACAAAGAAGTGAAAATCCTTAGTTTTGGCTATTTCCATATGTTCAAATTCAACAGAACATGAGCAGAAAAGACTGCATCCAATCAGTACAATACATTAAGCCAGAGACAGCTCACACCAACTGTTATTTAAGAGAGACCTTTTGTGAACATACCTCAAAATGGATGTACGTATCCGAAATAAAAATGCTCTATAAATGCAACAGAATGAGGCAATGCTACTAATTAATTTTGGAAGCTGAAAGTGCTTCAGTTGTTAACATGAGCTTGTTTACTTTCTTGTTATAGTCACTATTTAGATGAAATCTGATTTAAAAACATTAACAGGTCAGTAACACGATGTGAGAGAAATAAGGTACGATTTCCCCTCTCACCAGAACAGCTCACCAATAATTTCCTAACTGCTACATACAGATCCAGAACTATAACTTGCAGAACTGTAGGTGCCTTGCCATCGATAGCCATTGTAGGAAAAAAATTTACACACTTGAACTACTTGTGCTCATGCATGCTGTTTCTCTCTCTCTCTCTCTAACACACACACACACACACACACACACACAGAGAGAGAGAGAGAGAGAGAGAGAGAGAGAGAGAGAGGCACACAGACATACAGATAAAACCAAACTTACACATTCTATATGCATGTTTAAGCATTCCTAAGTATGCTTTAAATATACAGGAGCTTACAAAATTATAAGAAAACGAGACATTTCTCTTGCTATCCTGTCTCACCACAGGCCACTCTGTGGTGTTTTTTCCCTCTATAGCTGTCTCCTCGAAAAGCTATCGAAGTCACAACATCCCACAGAAGGCTGACCTTAATAGCTGAAGTTACCAAACCCAAAATGCAAACTCTCAAGGTAGGAATATCAACTTTCCTTCATTTAGCTGCGCTCAAATGCTCCCAAAGTACTACAGAGAGTCAGATATGAAGGAGAATTATACCAATGCACAAAGTTGCTTTATACAAAGAATATTTGAGGAAAGGAGCAAGCTAAGAGAAAATAAAATTCTTTTCACTTACTATTAAAACTGACTATACTGATGAAGACCAATGACATTTCTGTTTATATCTGCAGGTCACTGGAAACCACACTACTTTTTATTCATATATTTCAAGTCTGGGTCATGCAAGTTGCCAAAGAAACCACTTTTTATAAAATATGCTTTTATAGATGAATAAAAATATGACTATCAACAGCAATCCCTCCCCCATGATTTCAAACAAATTTGGCATTCACTCTACCAGGTTTAATACAGTAAGAACATAGCAAGGGAAACAAAGCAGGACATTTGAAAAACTTACAAATTATGCCGAATTACACATAAAACCTCATGAAGAGAAAACAATCCAACTCCTTACTATTGCAAGTTTCGAAAATAAAAAGAAGGGTAAAAATGAACTTTTAGAAGCTAACTAAACAAATACCATTTTTCATAAAAACAACCACTTTAAATAACTTCCCCTCCTCTTTGTGCATCTCTAATTCAAATACATATTAAACAGACATTGATTATTCTGTTTCAGAAAGTCATTTTTCCACATTCTAATGTGCATTAATGGCATTTACAAGCAATGCTCTGCAAACTAAAAGGAGTTTTTAGCATGAGACAGAGAAAGACACTACACTGCTCAAAAATCCATGGTATTTCTGGACTCTCGGAAATATACAACATCTTAACTACTGATACTGAATAGCACTAAATGTTTTGCAGAGAAAAATCCCCCATTTCTTTTCTTTGGGATCTACACAAGGAATCACCCTTCAGAGAATTTCTCTCAACACTCTTGTCAATTATAGTTGGCTAATCACATGTGTTAAAAGCAGGCTATGTTTAACACAATCTCCCTCCCATGAAAACATAAACAGAATTCCACATAGTGACACACCTAGATTCTCAAAACACCGTGCTGTAGAAATACTTATATATGTGCATGTGGGCACATGTGCTTAATTTTAAAAGCCATTTAACAGCAATCAAAATGTCATCTATCTTTTACTAATTTTCATCTATGCATGTTTGATAGATTCATTTGACCAATGAACACTGATTGTTTTGCCCCTTTACCCATTATCACTTTTGAATCGCAAAGGGAAAATGCTGTTCTAGTTAAATCAGGGATCCCCAAATCCCAGTCCACAACTCGGCAGCAGTCAGCGGTCAAGGCAGGACCAGACTGCGGAAACAGATCTCCTACCCCCGTAAGTGCTCCCCCCACATGCGTGCAAGTGTGCTCCACCCCTGCAATGTGACATGCCCCCGTGTGCATGTGCGCAGCACGACACACCCCTGCGAGCGCCACACACACACGCACGCACGCACGCACACACACACACGCGCGCGCGAGCACGACATGCCCCCTCAACCGGTTCATGGCTGGGAAAAGGTTGGGGACCACTGGGTCAAATAACCTTAAATTAATACATTACATACTTAAAGGTAAACGGAATTACAAAACAATAACATTTGCTTCCACAGAAAAATATGCATTATACACTAGGTTTGTCTGGCCGGCTAGCCATCAAGCTAAGGCAAGTTTGGATTAATCAAATGAATAATCCAAGCTACCCATTGAGTAGTGAATGGTAACTAAGGCCATTTAGGCTAGCAAAGGTCCCTCAGGTCACTAAAGGATGACAGTATAAAAATAGAGTTCTTCTCTATTTTATAAGAGTTATATATATAGTATATTTTAAATTCTAGCTGTTTTGGAACTTGTTATATACGGTTATGAAGATGCTGTTTTGTTGACTTGTCATTGGTTTTGTGTATTGACTCAATGTTTCAATGGCCTTTGGCTAAAATTTGAATAAAATTCATTCATTAATTAACTAGGTTTGTTGACTGTTTTCCTCAAAATAAAAACACTGAACGAGATTCACACACTCTGGTGTTTAAAGAAACCCTGCCACACATTTCAACATGTAAAGGTTCAGAAAAGCCACTGCCTCATCCCTCAAAACTTTATCACACGTAAGTACTAGAAAGAGGACATAAATATATAATAACAAATATATAATACAGAGGAATAGAGTTCTATCATCTTTTGGGGGTTACAAAATTTTGCAAACTAATGCCAGAAAAATTAAAAACATTATCAGGGTTAGTTTGTATGTTATATATTTATGTTTATATAATGAAATATATTACAAGGATGATAGTGCAAATTCTGATTCTGCCACTGGGGAAAAAATGTAATTAACGTTTATTGCAGCTTAAATTTGAAATAGGAGGGTATTGTGAGCAAAAGGGGAAAACCGACACAAAACGTATTGGTTTAACCCATTTTAAGACTAGATTTTAGAGACTTGCTGAAATGTATTTCCAAACTGGAAGGACAGATCCTGAAGCTGAGGCTCCAATACCTTGGCCATCTAATGAGAAAAGAAGACTCCCTGGAAAAGCCTCTGATGTTGGGAAAGTGTGAAGGCAAGAGGAGAAGAGGACGACAGAGGCCGAGATGGTTGAACAGTGTCATCAAAGCGACCAAGATGAATTTGACCCATCTCCGGGAGGTAGTGAAAGACAGCAGTGCCTGGCATGCTCTGGTCCATGGGGGTTACGAAGAGTTGGACACAACTTAACGACTAAACAACAACAACAATTTCCAAACTGTAGGATAGGTCAGTTTTGCAGATCAGAAGATTCCAATATTCTTAATCATAGCTATCAACTGGCTGTTTTCAAGTAGTGCAGGACAAATCACAGATAACAGTCTCATTGTTTTGAGATTTTCCTAGATTGGGGTGGGACTGGGCAGAATGCCCTTCTAGGTCTTTTCAGGAGGAAAGGGAGCCTTAGAGGTACAGTATATTTATTTTGAACAAATGCTACTGAATCCAGCTTAATTTTAAAGGAAACTAGCTTGATGCTTCATTTTCCCATTTTAGGCACTAGTTCTGGACCACAGGGAAAATTAAGAGAAGAATGGGGCAGACACAAAAAACAACAAGGTGTATTGTTTGCAACAAAGGACTTAACATTTGAGGGCCTGACTGTCAGTAACAATGATGCAGGAGATGCTTTAGTTTCTGATAGGACTTTTTAAAAATAAAAACCAAAATACAAATCTGTGTGCACACATTGCTTAACTGGTTTCTTTAAATGATAAGAGAAATATTCTCACCAGAGAATTCCAAGTATCATGAAAGACCAACATCACTCATCTTTACTTCCAAAAAGAATTAGGAAGTGAAGTCCTTGGTGAGGAACCACCACCACCACCTTAGAATTGCAGAGCTGGAAGAGACCCCATGGATCACCCAGCTTCTGTCAAGGAAGCAAAGTAGGGAATTGAACTCCCAATCTATGGCTCTGGAACACTACTGTTGTAAATTTACAAGCGGAGTTGTTCATCGTGACAGTCTCGAAACCCACCCATTCCAATAAGAAGGGTGGGAGAATCAGCCCATGCCAATAAATGAGCATTGGGTCTTTTGTAAAGTCAATGGCTCTTAATTGCTGGTTCAAGACCAAACCACCGTCAGTTACTTTCCATATACTATCCTTGGAAAAACCAACATCTCTTCCAGATACTGTGAGGACTGTAGTTAAGCTCAAGGGGAACAGGAAAGCCTCAAGTGTGTGGCAGATATGTCATACGCTCTTACCCTCAAAAACTCCAGGGGCTTT